GGTTTCGTATGAAAATATTCCCCGGCGCGGGAATTATCTTCGGAAAGTTGGAAAATCGAGATTTTCGCAAAAAAGAGCTCGCCAGGAGTGTGTATTATGAATTTATACGAGCCCCGTACGGAGGATGTTTTAATTTTTTACCGGGCTTTTTTGGGCGTTGGCCGGGAAATAATAATAATGAACACGTTTATAAAAAATATGGTCCTATAGTCATCAACCAGTTGTTAAAACAAATAATGTATTTATATGCATAGAGGCATTAATAAAACATCTACAATTACTGATTTTCTAAAAAAATGCTAAATTTATTTAGCACAGTTTTGGCTTTGATACTATTTTCTAAACTTTTTTGTTAATAATATCGAGACACCCTGTATACTACAATATAAATACCCTAATTTGGAATAGAAAATAGGGATTTAAAAGGGCGATTAAATCGCCATACGTTCCAATTTTAAGTTCTAGATTCAATTTCAGAGGGATTTAAATTTTGTAATTATTATCGCATCGATTTCCGTTTTGTTTCAAGCTTATCTACGTGAAATATGGAATATATTTAAATAAAAAAATTACGCTATGTAAATTAGTTGAGGAAGTTTCTATCTCCATATATCGAGCTAATTTCGACTGCACGAAACTTGTACAAGTCGCTATTTAAAAAATAAAATAAGAAAGTTAAGAGGAATTTTAAATTATTACAAGAATATTTCAATCGAGCAAATTTTTAGGTGGTAATTTTTAATATTAACTCCAATTAAAACTCCTAACAAATTCACGCTTTCGGTGATATATTTCGAATGCAAAATCCAATCACTCAGGCGCACAGAAAACTTATATTCAACTAGTTTTCTATACAATCAATATATCGAAACCTCGCAATTCATCGACTCGTTACCCGAAATTTTGAAGTTCATAAATTAATTTTCCAATTTACTGTTTGTCTTTAATCACGTTGGGGCGGAATTCGCGCGGAGTTGTTAAAACGTTTAACTAAACATATAATACGTAGAATAGGTTCGAACCCGAATCGAATTGTAGATAAATAACCCCCGGACGCGGGACCAGTTAAAACTTGACCTTATTACGAACGCACGGGACACAAACGGCACGATAATAATACCGTAAAATGGCGGCCCTGCAAGATGGATGAAACAACAGAAACCTCGGAAACGAACGCGTAAATAACGTTAACGACACGCCGTTAATTCGGAGTTAATTTCGTTGAAATTGCTATAAGTTTATGGAATAATAGGAGAAATATACATCAGGGTGTCTCAAAATTGACGCCCGTCCTTTCGGTTTATGAATAAGGAGATCAAAATAATTGTAAACGAAAGAATAAAAATTTTGCGTTTTGTCTTTTGTCTTTTGTTTCGGAGTTATTGATTAACTTAACCCATCAAAGTAAAAAATATTAGTGAAGTCCCTGTGGTGCGACCAAGTTCAAATTTTGTTGCCCAGTGTTATTATTAGATATTTAATAATATTTAATAATATTTAATAACAATGAAAATAGCACTCGCAAATATCTGGTTTGTTTTGATGTTTAAACGCTCCTGCTCGGGAGTTTTGATAGACGTGACTTTGTGGTGAAGGCAGAAACCACCTAGAGCAGTTGTGCCTTTAACTTTGAAAAGAATATAAGCCGATGAAAAGCCGAAGAGAAAACTGCGGTAGATAAGCCGGGCGCGGAAAAATTCGCAAAGTTTGCGTAGCCGCGCCCGCGGGCGTCCTTAAAGAAACAATAAGAAATAAGCAAAGAATAAAATCCGGGCCCTCGAAATCTATACTTTCGAGTGAAAGTTCGGGCTTTGTTCGAACCCGACGCGAGCGGATGTTAATTACCAAAGCGAATATGTACACAAGAAATTGGGGTTTTAATCCGGCATTTTTTTTTATAAATTTTTCTTCATCATCACTTCACCTACACATTTTTCTCGTTCGCTTCGACTTTTCCAGAGAACAGGCTTACTTTGAGCGATAGCTAATGCCATTTTCAGGTCCATTTATAATAATTTCCCGGTTGATAGTGCGGGGAATTGCACATAATGTCGGATCAGATTGGGGGAGTACAGAAATCCATTTGTAAACGTCGCACGGTACTCGTTGATATTAAACGGTCGCGGAGTGTATTGTCGACTATTAATTCAGGAACCCTTCATTCCGGATATATAAAGCAATGGATTAGTTAGATGGCGATGGTTTCCAGTTTCTAGGCAAGAAATGTTAGCTTGGTTGACGTGGATAGGGGACGAACTAATGGGCTTGTAATGGAGGAATTTAGATATAGGAAAAAAATATTTATATACAGTCGGTGCAAAACAAATATCAATGCACGTCACCTATGATTTACTACGTCACAAGTAGGCAGTGTTGCCGAACGTTTATAGTTTACAAAATTTAAGAATTTTCTAAAATGGTCAAATGGCAAAATGACAAGAGCAAATTGAAAATTAGGGGTAACTGTTTTTATATCCCTGTATTTTATATCGTTAACAGGAAGTATTTTTAAAGTACTTTCATTCTTATTACACATTCCCTATACCTAAAGTTAATACTTTTCGAGATATTTCAATTAAAAAAATAGAACTTAAAATTGAAGAAAAAAAAATTAAGATTAAAATATCATTAATTATTTATAATTTTTTGACACCTATATGGTAATGACAGGTACGTATTGCAAAATATTTGAAATTTAAAGAAATTTTAAAAATTTCCATCTTTTTTATTTTTCAGAATATTAAAAAAGTTTACTTGAAAAAGTTGCTTAGTTAAAAGATCTATAGGCAGTTAAAAAATATCAACTTATGAGACACCCTGTATATATTTTTGGATGATTTAATTCTGCATTTTAACATTTTCTATCATCCCTTGTTAGTGACGTACATTCATATTTGTTTTGCACCAACTGTAGATGTTCTTAATAACTTCTTCACTCCCTATAAATAGATTCTAGCCAATTATATCGATCGTTATCATTTTATTCAATTAACTCCACGGTGCGTGTTTTCACCTACACCCCAAAGTCTTTGTCACGAGCAAAGTTACCCCAATTAAAGACCTAGATAAACATATCACACCGTCGAGACCCTTTGTTAGCGGAAATCCGTTTGAAGCCACTTACGACGATCATAATACTTTCAAATTATCGGGCGTATTTGAACTATCTTCCCGGCGTATTTGAACTACCGACCGTGTGCAAACGAGCTACCGAGGAAATTTATACGCAAAGTTGCGCCTATACCGGAAATCCCACCGACGTATTTTCGATTTATTTTCGAAATAACGCCGAATTGATTTTCGGGAAAATTTTTGTTGTTAAAATTTTTGAAGATTACAGCCCATTCGAAACGCGATTAATAGGATTAGTTTTTGTTTGTTTACGTGCTTTAAATGAAAACAAGTGTTAACTGTAGGTTTAATCAATTGAAAGCTTTCACTGTAAATTAAAACAACCGCATTTAAAATTAGTTTATTTTATACAAAGCGAAATATTTATCAATGTAGAAAACAAACTGGTTAAAAATGAAAGTATAAAATCGTTACATTAGTACGATTTTTTTGCCGGGTATTCCCCGAGTGAAGAAAAACACTCCAATCTCACAACAATGCCGCCCTTTAACGAATATAATGGAAGTTCCACAAAGTTTTAAGTGCCATTAACTCCTTTTTTAGCAGAACATTATGCATATCTAAATTAGAAGCAACTTTTAATTGGATATGAATCGTCGCTTTTAAACGCTCATAGTTTAAGTGAAATATTATTAATGGTGCATGTAGAGTAGGTAATACAAAACGAATAAAACCATCTTCATTAGGGAATGAAGTTTACGAATTCCCTGAGGAATTGTAATTGTATATTCATTTAATATTTTTATTTAACTACAAAACAAACTTTCGCATTCTTCAAAGCAACCCCTAATAAGCTCTAACCAACATCCGTTCTATTCGAGCCGAGACAGAAGTATTAAATCTAAATTAATTCAAACTTTGTCATGAATATTTAAAAATCGAATTGTTTAACTTTGCGCTCCGACCTCAAACAACGGGGGAAGTTTCCCCGGCGACTTCAGGGCAACCGTTTGAGGCTCTTCCAGCTCCACGCTAGCTGAAACAACCGTTTAATGTACAGCAGTTATTGTTCCTCTGCAACGTTCCCTTTAAGGGCGCGAGTCTCAAAATTCCTCGAGGAGTTTACGAAAATTTATCAGGCCGTGTGATTTGATTAAAGCCGACACTTCGGAGGGAATTAGCCCGAGTTATCACTAGACTTGTTAATTTAAACGACTATTTTTCGATATATCTACATTCGAAATTGTTGGGGAATTGGTTATTGCAAGGTTGGGCAGCAACAGCTCGGTTTAAATTAAGGTCAGGCTGGAAATTGCCGATGAAATTGGAAGATTTTGGTCACGAACTGGATTTCACTACGAACTAGAGTTTCGCTAAGTTGCAGCAATTTATGCTAAATATTGAGAATTCGCTTCTAAAGCGAGTTTACGCGAAGAATAGACGACTCAAATCTTGTTTCAAAAATAATCTTTCGCCATATTAAACAACTAAAGTACCTTATATAAATAATGGATTACTCGCTTCAATATCACCCCGCGATTTCATCTCGCTGATGCAGATACAACATTTAAGCAAACAAATACAACAAGTTCCGAAGTTTCGGGAAACTGTACGAACTCGCTTCGAACAAACTAACATTTTTCTATTTATGATGAACATAAATCCGGACGAGATTATCACACCCCTGTTCAAAAGGAAAGTATTATCGAGGATAAGTTGTGTGAGAGATTGAAGCTAGTAATACTGGCTGAGAGATTATGGAGCGATGTAGAAGCATTAAACCGATCCCGCTTTTCCTTTCTTTCCTTTATAGGAAAACATAATTACTGAATGAAATGCTCGCGTTTATAATGGTAGATATTCCTCTCGATTTCAATCCTGAGTAATTTCTTTCAATGGCAGTTTAGAGAGTTAATTGTGCTACTTACTGGTACAAGAAATCTTCTGACCTCTGCTAGGGCGTAGGCGATTCTCGCGTGGGCTTCAGCTGGTGTTGCAAATGCACTTATTTCCACGTGGAGCTCCTCGCTGAGGTGCTGGAATTTCGGATCGCCACTGGCGCGAAGCTCTTCTTCCTGTAGAAAATTAAATATTTTCAGCCTTATTCATAGTCGCCTCCTTAAAATGATGTTAAAACACCACTGATAGAATTTATTCGAAAACTCAACAGCTTGATGCTATAGATACATATGAAATGGTCTAATGATGTTTCGTGATGAGTAAATTTGGAATACTGCTCATTTAGCTGTGAATATTATCGCAAATTCGTCAGATTTCAGTGCGAATGAACAAAAAATCTAGTTAAAATAAACTTACAATTCGATAAACTGATGGATGCTTTTTAATTTGTGCGTATTAATGCGCACGGGCTTAAAAACGAATTTTTTAATTATCGAGCTATATGCAGGAGAATGGTGCATATAGATTTTTAATTGCGAAATAGGCGTTTATATTTTAAACAGAGTTTTGCTGTAGTATTTATTGGAGTCGGGTGACCTACATGCACGTACTACGAACATATTGATGATCGCACCCCGGACACTCGTTTCGCTTGCGGGGATTTAAATTTTTTAAAAACCTAGTTCACGATGCGAAACTTCAACCAAAGCGAAAAAAAAATGTTTCATTAAATTACTAGCGTAATTCTATTTTGAATTTTTAAAGCGAATGTAGTACATACAGTTGGTGCAAAGCAAATATCAATGCACTTTATCTACGATTTTCTACGTCACAAGTAAGCAGTGTTGTCGAACTTTTATAGAGTTTACAAATTCTAAGATTTTTTAAAATTGTCAAATGGCAAAATGACAAGAACAAATTGAAAATTAGGGGTATTTAAAAAAATTAATGTACAATAGACCCTTAAAAGAGTATACATAGTGAAACATTTGAGAAAACTTCTGAATCTGAATTATTTTCTGTCATCCCTTGTTAATATTAAATCAAATTCTGCAAGTATTAATCTTAATCTATTTTGTGTATTTATTTTAAAAGTTGGTCACAATGTTGGCAAGTATGACGACAGTATAGTGACGTGCATTGATATTTGTTTAGCATCGACAATATTTAATTTAATTTGATACTTAAAATTTTAGTATCATTAATAGTTTTGTACGTAAAAGCTCCTTTGTCTGCAATATTTCACAACGAAGCAATAGCGAACAATAAGAAAATCAAATGAAATCTTAAGCAAACTCTTTCAAGAAAACTAGAAAATGCTTTGAAAAAAAAAACTAAAATTTTTAACGATGGAAAACTTCTTTCATTAGTCGAAGACTTACTATAATTCTTCTCGAAGATTTTCATTCGAACTGCGCCGCTCCCGGCTAATTAATTTACGAATCGGAGCGAAAAATAGTAAAAATAATTCTACTACTTCGGGCGCTTTGTAATTCTAGCTAGGTAATTGATTGATTCCGTAGCGCAATTAACGATAATTACATTAACGGGCCGATTATATCGACGTTAATGTTGCGGAATTTAATGAGAGATAAGGGTTGATGTTAACCCATTTACCTTCGTCCGATCATTTGACCGGATTTTTGCTCGATTTTATTATACTACTTGTCTAATTTAAGTAGGTTAGAGTAGTAAAACGAAGTACGAAATTAACAACAACTTCAATCTAAACAGGAGTTGTCCTAATTAAGGAGAAACTTCTTATAAGAAACATAAATCATGCACCCAATCTCGAAAGACACATTACGGTTTTCTTCAATAATTACTCGAGAGTAGCAATTATTTGTTTCCAATTTTTGTATCAATTATGAAAATACGAGTTCATCAATCTTCATCAAAAATAATTAATAACACTTTCAGATTTAATTACACCTCCGCACAAACCCTTATCTGTCTAGAAACTCCTTTACGCGAGTTCCCCAACTTTTACATAGCCCTCCATTAGCGATAACTGGAAAAAAGTTATCGAAACATAAACACCTCATAAATTGAGACCTCCTCCCGGAAGTAAAAGCCGATAATAAAGATTCCCCGTTCGCGAACTCGCAAACTCACGAACCCCATCGTGTTCCACTCGGAGTTTCATTAAGCTAATTCCGCGTCGGCGATTCCGAGGGCAACTTTCCCGAAGGAAAACAATCAGTATTCACAGGAGGAGCCCAAGTCGCGGAGACATTTACCTTCCTGTCGTCGATCTCGGGCGAAAAACACAAAACTTTTAAAGCCTCTACATGTCACCTACGTTCTACTTAACTTGTACCACTTAGAATCCTTTAAAGTTAAAGTTTCTATACTTCAAAATCCTGTATTATAGAGAAAGCTTGCAACAGGACGGGTGTAACCGGTAAAAATGTGTAATTAACCGCGGGATAATCGGTACATATTGTAAAAATCTCGCAGTTATTTAGCCAGGACGACGTGACATTTCGCCCGAATCCTGAAATTCCCTCTCCGCATGGAGATGGGAGATGGAAAGGAACAAAAGGGATATAGAGGCGCAATGATTGCGCTTTATTGATTGCCGCTGTCGCCCAATGAATAATTTAGTCACGAAGATGTAGCGAAAATTTAATTACGTTTTTGACGGGGGCTTTCTTCTTTTTCGACGGGAAAATAACGCACTCGATGGATATTCGATACGGCGATCAACGTGGAAAATTAAAAAGGAAATGAGGTTTATCCAATATGTATATCGCACGCAGAGATTTACAGTTGGCTACAAATGATTAGTTTCGTTTTCGATATTTTAATTTATCTACCAGTCGAAATTGAATACATTTTAAAACGTAGTTGAAATTCAGGGTGTTAGTTAATTAAAACGTCTTTTGTTAAATTGTTGTTATTGTTAATTTTAATGATGTTTATGCCTTTTGGAAACTAATTTTGATGAGTAATTTTACAAATAAATTTGTAAAATTAGTATTTTAACACCCTGTAGCTCGAAAACTAAGAGGTTTAGGACACATATTGATATAAATTTTTATTCTTAAACTCGTCTAAATATTCACATCCTGAAGTATCGACACTTAATTAATTAACACCCTGTATACAGATTGTCCAAAAAGTATGGAAACAACCTGTATAAACAAATATTGCCCTACAAAAGACTTCAAGGGTTATTACCGTAGCTCCAGACATAAGGAATCTTGTTCTCAAAGAATTTATCAAGTTCACGGGTTCCGTAGCAACCCAGGCTTACATTAGAAAGGGTCCTTTAAGTCGTAAGACGTCCTTTATAACCCTTCACAATCAAGTAGGTAGATCCTCGCTCTAATTGTTGGCGTATTTAATACACCCTAATAGTGAATAAAATTTAGCACTTTTTCCGATCTATTTCAGCTTCATTGATTGCTATACTATAAGCATATCGAACAATTATTATTTTATGGGTACCTTCTGGATATGGGTTAAAGTTAGGGTTGCGTATTATACGTTTAATTGGCATCGCAAGGACGCCCTTTGTGCTTTTACGATTATGCGAGACCGATTATTTTCCGCGTAATCGTTACGTTGACATTATCTAGGAGCTAATTAACCGAATGGTAACTACCCGAAACAATAATTCCGGTAATTTTGTTTTATCGCCGGTACTCCGGGTTTATTTTCAGTGATGTTTGATTGCGCTATTTGCTATCAACATATTAAGGGATGAGTGTATAGAAAGTTGACTGGAAATTTGAATGGAAAATTACTGTGTGTTATTAAATTTTCATGAAAAGTTGAAGCATTTGAAGCCTATTTGAGGATCGCACGTTTTTTTTGTTTGAAGAATTTTGTTCAGAAGGAACGTGTTCCTTTGTAATCTGAATAAAGTTAATTATATTTTAATCCTCCTGCTTAGGGACTGTTAGGCTTCAATTTTTTTTGTACATTATTTTTTCCTTTATCTTAAAAGATTACCATGAACTCATCTACATTAGTCGAGATTTTTTTAATACTGTATATATTTTTTTACTAATGGAAAAGTAGATCATTCGATAAAACTGTCATTAATATCAGCAAATAGCGGGGTAGCTGATACCGAGTGCAAAAAACCCTCCCCGTCTTATCGGACGCAAACAGACACTTTTATCCAATTTTACACAAATAATTTGACATCTCCTATATAAAGACCATAAATCACTTTTGGCTCGATTTTAGCGGAACGTCGATACCCCGCATTTTCAGACATATTCTTCCTATAAATCAGCGGTAATGAAATGACGAACTAACTTTTAGAGCCTGGAACGTGTCAATTTAGGAATTCGATTGCAGTCAATTTCCTATATCTGCCAGTCCTGGAGGATGGCGCGAAGGTTTCTGTCAATTATCCTAGCAAAAAAACAACGTATTTTATTGCAGAAGGGCGCCCGGAATTGGCTCGATTTCCTTTTATACGATAATAAAGAAATGAAAGATAGAGTTAGAAGTTTTGCTATTGATTGCTCGAAATTTTATACACCTCTTCATCACATCAATCCCTTTAACCACTACATAATATTACATCGAATTTCCACCAACAATAACCGTTAATATAATATACAACATCCACTTTAAAGCCTCTATAATAGAGATATAACTTTAGGCAACTTCCTAGATACCGGCAATTTTCTGACAGAACATGATTACCTTGTGCCTATCCTTCATTGATCCTCTTCCGAGCACGGCCATTTTACACATCGTGTCCTCTTGTAATCTTTTGAGCGAATTTCCTTTGGGACCCAGAAGTTTCCCGACGAAGTTGAACTGCAAGCAGAGAAGAACGAACTTAGAATACGCCGCGTACATTGACGAACTAATTCCTTAATTCTATCCGATAATTAAACGGACGACCGGAAGTTTAAAAGAGAACTATTTCGTTTGCTTCGCGTGCAATTGTGAAGATGAATCGGCTTCGTTAGATAATGAGTTAATAATAAAAATAATAAGTCGTAGTGAATGGGAAATTCGGAAACACCCGGTGATGGTTAATGAGCGGAAAATGGGGAATTACTCATTGAAAGTGGTCGTTAATTCTGGCATTGCCGGATCGATAATTGAACGAACCGTACGGAATATCTAATGAGCTCAGTTTCATTACGGATGCTTTATATGTTTCTCTTCGAGGAGATATTGAAATGTGGTCTTTTTAATTAAGCGAGCGATTCATCAGGCGCTGGAACTAATTCGTCTCCCTGTTGCGGATAATTGAAATTAATGTATTCGCGTGAAAAATTGGGAGAATGAATGTATGATACTACTTGTAAAATTAAGATTATATGCAAGTGACGGTGAATATGTTAACAAATCTCGAGCATTCCTTCGTACGCCGGTAGAAATCAATATATTTGCAACTATAAAAACAACATAAAATAAAGCTCTGTATATTGCATCTGGGCTATTTCCACAACTTTTATGCACGTGTGTACCTACAGGTATATTGTTATCCCCGGGGAACACACGATTCGACAGCTGTAAAATCGGGAGACGGGAGATAATATTTGTTTTCGATATATGCACTCTGCTTTAGGTAAAGCGTCGGGTAAAAACCTTTAGACACTCTTTTTATTTAATCGATCGTTTTCCAATAAAATCGTTAAATAAGTTTCTTCATTGAGGTGATAATACAAGGTGTTTATTAATTAAGTGCTGATACTTCATCAATTTTTTATTACTCCAGATATTTTTATGATATTCCGGACGTGGACGTCACTAGTAATAGTAGCAAATTAATTTTTGTCTAAAAAAAGTGTTTCCATGCATGGTAAATCTTTTACCGCAAAAAATGGTCCTATACCGAGTGTCCATGTTCGAGCGCTGTATAATTAAAAAGTGTGTACAAAATTTCATAATAATATCTCGAGTAATAAGAAAATTATGATAGAAAAGTTATTTTTTTACTAATAAAACTGTAACATCCTGAAAAATAAGAGGTTTAGGACATATATTGATAAAAATTTTTCTTCTTAAAATCATCCAAATATTCACATCCTGAATTATCGGCCCTCAATTAATTAACACCCTGTATACAGATTGTCCAAAAATTCAAAAGCAGATTTACAAAATTTTATAAAAATATCTGGAGTTATAAGAAAATTATGATAGAAACTGTAGCACCCAATAGCTCGAAAATTAAGAGGTTGATATAAACTTTTCTTCTTAAAACCATCCAAATATTTACATCCTAAAGTATCGGCGCTCAATTAATTACCACCCTGTATAATTTATATTAAGGTGCTCCCAGACACTACATTTATTGGGCAAATAGTCAAGACTTTGTCGAATTCACCATAAGATGCTTATGAGGTCTTGAGATTATGCAACAAATTCTGTTCTGTCAACCGAATAAACCGCATATTAAACGCAGGTAAATAAAGCATATCCTATAATCGCTTGCATATATCCAATTCAATCGGATCTACAATAATTAATATCTCAGCAAATTTTGCTCGCTCATAAGATCGGTCCGGGTGCTCTGCTTTTGACATATACTCCAAGGATATTGGTTTAAATCTCAATTTATGGCGGAAGATATTTGCGATTTTCCCGCGGTGATGCTGCACTTCTACGAGAAACGGAAGCTTTATTTAAATTCATGATCAAAGCGAATCTATGATGGTTGTTTGAGGCAGTAGCGAAATGGGCCCTTTGTGGTCCGGAATGCATCCATTAAAAAGCAAGATACAATTTAATTATTCCTAGTCTATCGGCGATTTCGATCGGAAAATGTCCTTTATACCACATCTTTGAAATATTAATGTAATCGAAACTGAAGAGGTGAATTTTTCAATGCACTGATGCACTATTGCATTAGCCCGGTTCCACGTCCTTGGTAATTAAAAAACCCCGAACGTTTACCGCGAAAACCACGCAAAAAAGCTTTCCCGCGAAAGCACATAATTCACTAAAGCTGCCAGGATTTATTCAGGGAATGCTCAGTTGAGGGGAGTTCTCTATTTAACTGAACGTAACGGCCTAAACCTACAGAGCTTCCGTCCTCCGGGACACTTCTTATTCTTGCTAAAGATAAATATCTCTTAAACTTTCGGATGTTGATATTTACATTGGAGACAAACACACACACGCGACAGTATATTGCAACTCGAGCACATCGTTTTTGCGCCGTATTTGCTTGCATATTCGGGCAATGAGATGAACTTGAAGCGCGAAATGAAACTCGGATTCGGGCAAAGAATGGTAAATATGATTGAATATTTGATGGTGTTTGTTTTGATGTAGAAAGCGGATGTATGGGGAATTTAATCGCGAAGATTTTAAATAAATTCGTGGATAGAAAGAGGAAGGAAGCTAGAGGAAATATTCACTATAGTACTTTTAATTGTAATTATTCTATTGTAGAAAATGAAGGCACTGATTCATCTTTTATTCCTTTAAATTATGTACCAAAAATATACAACTCTTATACACAAAAATCATAAAACCCAGTCCCTTTGGAACCTCCCAGTCATTTTACGATCGCTCGTTGAAAAAAATTCATTAAGCACAGAAGCGAATTTACAAAAAAATACGCTACAAAAAAAAGGTCTCGAGAAACTATTTCGCCCTACTTTTTCCAGTTTCGTGACGAGACAACTCTCGAGCTGTGACAACTTACTTTGGGATGATCCCTTACAGGCACGACGACTCTCACCGCCACTTTTATAGGTTTGTCTCTTGTTATATCCACCATTCTTCGGCTTTCTCCGCCTTTGTTTTCTGAAACAAAACGAGAGTATTACAAATAAAGTCGCGCCGAACTTCGCCATTAAGATGATCTTAGCGGAGCTCTCTCGATTCCGCCTCGCTCGATTAAACCCTCTTCCCCGGTCGTCTTAAAAATATTGTTGTTTATTCCGACATCATTAACTTTTTATACTTTTCTATTCGATAACATTGTTACCAATAATCCCGGACGAATCTCGTTAATTGGAGGACACTTCGAAGGATACATTTAAATGGGAAAATGTAGAGATTTTTTTAGGGGGTTTCGTAGATACGCCACTGGAATAAACGGGATTTTGGAATTACATTATGAACTGTCGATATATCCGCCGCGGAAAAGTCTCGTTCAAAAGCTCGTTTTCGAGGAAAATTACATTTTATAATGAAATTCGTAGAAAAAATTCCTTACGGCTTAAAATGAATTTTATCCAAACCGCATTCTTAAAAATAAATAAGACTTAATAACATGACGGTAATTGATTGAAATTTATTCAAGTGGAAAGGTAGCAGGAATATTGTGCGTAGGGTACAGGTAAATTAGGTAAATCAAGAAGTTATATTTCGGCAACGTGATGAAGGTTAATCGAAATACGGGCCCTTAAGGTTAATAATGGAAAGTATACTTTATTAAAGGGGAACACGAGTTTACTTGTGATTTTGTAATATTATTGGTGTAAAACAAATATCAATTATCAATGCACGTCACTACTGTCGTCATATTTGTCAAGCATTGTGACCAACTTTTAAAAATAAATACACAAGATAGAGCTTAATACCTGCAGAATTTAATTTAATATTAAAAAGGGATGATAGAAAATGTTAAAAAGCAGAAATAAATCATCTAAAAAATATATTTTTTCAAAATTCAACGTTTTTATATAAAATTATTATTATTTTCTTGTAGTAGGTTGGTAGGCACTGACTGTCAAGTTGCATAGTTGCCATTGTCATCCAATCGGTACTTCTAATTTTCAATTTCTTCTTCTTTTTTCTTGTTTACTAGCCTCAACTACTAAAGACTATTCAGCCGAATAATCAAGAAATAAGAATTTTTCGCGTAGTTATCTTTTCCACATGTTAGAAATGAAAAAATTTGAGCTCTAAATAATTCAGATTCTGAAGTTTTCTCAAAAATTTCACTATGTACTCTTTTAAGGGTCAATTGTACACAAAATATTGTACACAAAAATATTTCAGATGATAAAGCAATTTGATGATTAATTATAGTGAGCCCTTGAATACGCCTGCCGTTTAGAAACGTGAAACAAGTACCCCTAATTTTCAATTTGTTCTTGTCATTTTGCCATTTGACAATTTTAGAAAATTCTTAGATTTTTCAAACTATATAAAAGTTCGGCAACACTGCCTGCTTATGATGTAGTAAATCACAGGTCAAGTGCATTGATATTCGTTTTGCACCAACTGCAGTTGGTGCAAAAATAGTTCAAAAATACAATAAAATTAGTGAAACAATTTGGGTATAGAAACGTGCAGGAGTTTCCTGCGATAAAAATTGGAACCGAAACTATATAAATATATTTTCCTGCGTACGTTTCGGGCCAAATTTCGCCGGGAGCACCTTTTTCTCGATTGAACGGACACGCTTCCGAATAAGGCTCTTAAACGCAACCGCGCTTTTGTCACATAAACGAGATGCAAAAGGAGATGGAATCGTTAACGCGAGTGCTCGTTTTGCTAATTAGTCGAGCCCGATTAATTCGGCTTCACCCTCAATTTACTCCGAATTATTTAAGAACCGCCATCGATTAATATATCAAAACAGTTTAATGGAATAATCGAACTAAATAACCAGGGGGGCGGATTTTTTACTGTAGAAATTATAATTTTACAAGCCGGCGTGGAGATTATGAATGTTTCAATATTAACGACAATAAACGAGCAATTTCGCAGGTATTACCAATTTTCTTAATTCGTCCTCGAGGATTTATTAAAATTTATAGAATAACCTCTATAAAGTTTTTCGCAAGGAGTAAGAAATTTTAATATCTATCAATTCACGCTCGAAAACACTCTTAAACAATTTTACATTAGGGTTGTTTTTAATCATTTTTCAATTTTCACCTTTCGCATGTAGGCATCAGAGTTTCGGGATTAAATCCCACAACAATATTCGTGCATGTGTTCCGCCTCTTCCGTGCTCTAAAACATTCTCTCCCATTTAAAATAATGAGCTTATTTCGGGCCGTCGTTTATACAATCTGCGAAGAGGCAATCTAGCATTTCCATTGTTAGAAATATGCTTTTGTCGAGTGGCTCGAAACCGGCATTAATCATTCTATCTGCGGCTGTTAAAGAACTACAATCGTAAACCTAATTCAAATACATGCACGTGGGCAATGTCCATTGTTTGTACACCGCGAATACTGCTCATTTTCACCGATTATTCCGCATTTTTTTCATTTCTCCAGCGTTCTATTTTTTCTACAATTATACAGGACACGAATAAATCACCCTGTACACGCAAAATAGGCTAACAATAGTAGTTAAAATTTAATATCCTATATCATTTCTCCATTTCGATTACAGAATTTAATTATGTAGCGGGCGGATTAATTTTCCATTAGTAAATTTCTTGTGGAATAAATCACGACAAAGGGCTTATTAATTTATGCGAGCGAATTAATGAAAGATTCGTATTGTAACTATTTGTTGAAAATATATCCGTTTTATAATCGAATTCATAAATGCGCGGGTTTGGCGTTTGAAAGGATAATCGCTTTTGCCCAATTACCGTGCTCCAAATAATGTTTTAATTAAACGCGATAATTAATAACTAACGGGATAAATTTAGGCTCGAAGTAACTAGAAATGCGGAATAAAAATCAGAGCGAAACATTTAGCGGGAAAACTATAGGAAAACCCGTCAACGGAGGCACCGGAAAAAAGACACATTTCATCTCGGAATCCTTGCAGAGAATATTATCCCCGCTAGGAAACGACAATGGGCATTTTTCATCGGGGAAATCGCTCCTTTAAGGACCCTTTTCCCCTCCTCGCGTAAACCACTTTCTGTCGTTTTGTGCCGACTAAGCCAACACGACGTGAATTTGACATTCTATTTTCCATCTACTTTCGTTCCATAATCGTTCGTCTGGGGCGTAAAAAAACAAGGCCAATCCTTCGATCCGTAATTACCGGAAAACAACCGGATGATAAATGATTTTGCCAGTGTGTTTATCTTTAACGCGAAACGACGTTTATAATAGGCGATGCTCTTCCGAAGAGGCCTAAACTTAGAATATACAGGGTGTTAATTAAGTGCCGATACTTCAGGATGTGAATATTTGGTTGATTTTAACAAGAAAAGTTTATATCAATGTGTGTCCTAAATCTCTTAGTTATCGAACTACAGGGTGTTAAAATTTTAGAAAAAAAAAACTTTTCTATGTCATAATTTTCTTATTACTCCAGATATTTTTATGAAATCGAATGATCAAAAATCGAATGATTTTCGCGGAGTATTAAAAGTTCTCTAATGAATAGTAAATGTATCTAGAATGAAAATAAACAACAGCCGATTAATGCGGTTGATTTATGCGCTTCATTAAAAAAGGTCGAAGTTGGGAAATTTATGGCAGCGATTTTTATAAAACCTAAGAGGTATTTCGCTGGTTGAGTTTATGGATTGCGAGAGATTAACTCCGCAATTCTGATTTAGTGGTTTCTTTCAATTCAGATAAACCCGCGAAAGAATCGAATTGTATGATTTTAAACGCCCTAATTAACGCTTTAAATTAGATGTAAAATGAAAATTACTAGTTGATATTTCGAAATATTCACAGCAAATTGCGGTTTGTTTTAGCTAAAATCCTCTTTCAAAATTTCTCTAGGGTAAAACGCTGTTCTCTAGTAGCGGAGAAACAAACAAAAATAAAGGAAATGCGCGGAGTTTCGAATGCAAGCAGCAAAATGTATTACAAAACAGAACTGCATTCAGCGAAGATATAAAGTCGGTTTTTAATCTTAGCACTGAACGAGTACAGTATTATTAGACAACAGATTGTAAGGAATAAATAACGATATGTAGAAAACGAAGAGTGATATTCTATGCGAAAATTAGCCTACTTTTTGTCTCAAAAATGCTCTCAAAACCATACACTTTAATAAAGACATCAACATCAACAAAACTCAATTTTCCGACAGATTCATAGAGTCGACGAGCTGCTGTTCAACCTACAGTTTGTCTCCAGAAAATGGGAAAAATTACTTACAAGCCAATGAGTTTATGAGCACTCTAAGCTTCCCAAAATCCTTGCATAGACTGCTTACTACTTTACCCTATTAGTGATCAATTAGTTGAAACAATTAGTAAACAATATTTTTACATTTTCGGGCGTAAATTCCTTGCCTTATAAGTCGTTTTTCCTATTTTTCTTGAGACAAACTGTAGAGGCTCATTGAGGTAAATAAAATATGGCTGCGTGTGAGAGATTAGGCTTTAATTGGCGTTTTAACGGTCTGCATGATAGGAAGTAACCGTATTTTAGCCGGAGATTCGATGGGTGAGGTGAATTTAAGTCGAATTTTAGGGAGGAAGTTACGAGGAAATGCAATGCTGTATTCCATTTTTTTAGCGATGAATTTCGTGCAGAGAAATCTGAAGTTCAAATTTTCTCTACTGGAAAATCCTATAAATTCAATTTGGTACAATATAGGTAATTGAATGCACTATATTTTGAGAAGACGTGATTTAAAGGTTCCACCAAAATTTTAAGTGTACAGTCGGTGCAAAACAAATATCTGTCTATGCTCAGCCTGTATAATTATTATTAATAGCGAAATACGTCACTATTATTAAATCCTGATTGTTTTATAACAGCCAACGCATGAAAATTGACAAGTTTAAACATAGATTTAATTAATCTTCATTAAAGAGTTTTACCGGTTATACGTTATTAGCATGCACTCGCTAATTATGCAACATTACGACAATAACTAACTGGAAGTTTGGAAAGTTTAATTATCCAGAAAAG